ATTCGGTTCGCCGCGGCAATCTCCTCTTCGTCTTCTACGTCTTCGTTACCTGGTGTGGCGGCGGTTCAGCGCCCTGTTTGGGAGCTCGACGAGTGGGAGTTCACCGGCAGTGAGGAAGAGGAGTTGATTTTGTCGGAGTCTCTGTAGCCGAAGCATAGGCTCGTGGTAGCCCGCCCACTTCTCAGGAGGCCAAGGAATTCAAAACTGAAGAACCCGATCTGTCGAACGGGATCGCTGCGGCTAGGGAAGATGGAGAACTCGAAGATGAAGAGGAAGATAGAGATCAATTAGTTTTTTTATATGGAAGGGGAGGGCGGCAGAGAGAAGAGAGGACGGAAGATAAAAAAATTATTTATTTATTAATTACTTAATTTATTTTCTTTTTAGTTTTCATAAATAAATAAAAAAAATTAGTTCAGATAAAAAAGACTATTTAAAAAAATAATGTTTTTCACTTATCCACATGGAATTGTTAAAATATAAATCAAAATGATGTGGCAATGATATTGATGACTTGTCGCTGATGTGTGTGATGATTTGGCATCCTAATCAGTGTAACGTTAACTTAACTGACGGAGTTTCTGACACCGTTAAAGTTTGTAACGAAAATGGCTATATTTGTCATGAAACTTTCAAAATTCTGACTATCATTGGTATTTCCTCAAAAGTGGCTATTATTATCACAAACGTCAAGGTTTTGACTACACATATGAATTTTGCCTTAATTTTTCATAACTTGATTTTATTATTATTAGACCTATGTAACACCATTCAATAACAATTGCGTAAATGAAAATATATTACATAAATATTATGAAGGTACAGTGGCATTGTTTGCCGTTGTCCGTTCAGTGGGTTTGGAGATGGGAAATCTGTTGTAGCCACCGTCTCCCGTCGACATCGTTCAGTGGGTTCAGAGATGGGACTTGATGATTGGGGACCGAATGGGATGGGAGAGAAGGGTTGGAGGAAGTCGTTATGTGATCTTGGGAGGTGCGAGAAAGATAGCATCGAGAAATGTTATTTTCTTAAGGGGCCACCGATTAGGTGTGGTTGTTATTTTTTATGAGATCATGCATCTCGCAAACTAAGGGGTCGTTTGGAAGTTGTGATTGTTAGAGTTGTGTTTGTTGAATACAAGTATTGTGCACAATACAATGTTTGGAAGTGACAACATGTAAAACAATGCATGGTAGGTCCCACCAACAATCCCAAAAAATGATGCATTATACAATCTCAACTAAAAGTTGTGATTGTTGCTTTTAGATTTGTGTCAACTTTTTCTTTTCATTTATATCCCTAATAGTTTTTGTCTTATACTAAAAGTTAAGGGTAAATATGACATTTCCCCATAAAAGTAACTTTATGTAAATCAATGCATAAAGTAGAATCTTGACAACCAAACAATGTATTGTTAAAATGTATCCATTGTATCAATACATGCATTTATATTATGGTGATTCATTATAATGCAACGATTTAACATTCGCAACTTCCAAACGACCCCTAAAACTAACATTAAAGGCCATGTTTGGCCTGCACAATATAATTACACATGAGCTCACGTAGATAGGATTGCAAGGAATCACCATGCCACTTCTTGAATAGTGCTACGTGATTTTTTCATAATGAACAGTAAATATCGATTTTTCATATCAATTGAACAAAACATATGACATAAATATTTGTAATGATTATGACACTATAATAACTAGGGGTGTTCAAACTGTGTGGTTACCGTGGTAACCGTTTTAACCGGTAGTATTTGGATAATTTGGTTTGGTTAATTTGGATAATTGGTTTGGTTTGGTTAAATTTTTTAGCTTGTTTGGTTTAGGTGGTTTGGTTTGGTTCCAGACACTCCTAACCAATGAAACCAAATTAACCAGTTAAGTAATTAGTCATATATCTAATATAAATTATTTACACATACTTAATACTTTGCATAACCAATAAACAGTCAAATGTAAAATAATTGTATTTGTTACATGTATTTATGTTAAGGGTTACTATAAGTCTATAATTATGTGTTATTCATTATATAAATTGTGAATTGATGCACTAACCGGAAATATTTCTCACTTAATGATAATGTGGTGTTGTATTGGCTATTTTGGTTAACCAATTAATCAAACCGATTAAGTTTTAGTTTGGTTAATTTGGTCGCTGTAACTTACCGAAAAAAAAAAAAAAAAAAAAAAATTTGGTCGCTGTATTAGTTTGGACGTTTTGGTTATGATATTGTATTCCATGGTTAATGAAATTTAGACTTATTTTATTTGGTTATTACCATGATAACCATTTAACACCCTAATAATAACTAGTGGGTTTGGAAATTTCAGAACTCTGTTGAGAGTCTTTCATGATATCGTTGAGACCTAGGTGTTGAGTAGTGTTATTCTGAATAACTAGTGGGTCTGGAGATTTCAGAACTTGCTGAGAGTCTTTGCACTATCATTACACCACTAGCACAATTGAGTTGTTCCATTCCCAAATCATCAAATTAATTATCTCCTAATTAATGTAGCAATTAGAACATCCCAGCATATCATTATTCAAGTTCGTGGTTACCACGAACTTCTCCTTTTAAGAATCTAGGCATATACAATCACGCCTTCTCCTCCAAACGACTTAATTATCTGCAGGTTCCCATTTGTTCTTCCTCATCTTCTCAATCACTCCCACAATCCTCTGCATCTCTTTGTTCATACGACTAGTGGGCCGAGATTCGAGTTCGGGTTCAAGTACAGAAATTGTACCCAAATGGCAATCTGCAGCATCTTCTCCCTTCTTCTCTTCCTTCCCACCACCATCATCATCAACTCTTCCCTCCAGAATGCTCTTGATTTGGTCTTTGAAGAATTGCTCTTGGAAATCCATCTAATTATTTCACATGACAGAGTTCAATTAGATTATAATGACATGATTCCTCTACTTTCGTGCCTTAATCACAAAATGATTTTTAGAAAAAAAAAAGGTCAAATCTTTGCTTGCTTACCGCTTCCATACTCTCCTGATGCTGCACTTGGATCTTTGCACTTAGCACTCTGATTTCCGCCTCTGCCATCCTCAGCTTCTCCTCCACCGGCGGGTAACCGACACGTGGCGGTGGCGAGCGGTTGGCCGTGATATGTCTGCCATTGCGGTCGGAGTGATGATCCTTAGGAGCCCACATTTCCTTGTAGAGCTTCTTGTGGGTCTTTCCCTTCTTCTCGTACCAGTTGTTGACCGGCTTCCCACCAGCGTTGACGTTTGCGCGGTGGTCGAGGACAGCGACCATCGCTGCTTCCATGGCCATTGTACGTGTTTGTGTCGGATTCGATGGATGTGTATGAGAGGGAAGCCGCCTGAATTGCAAATTGGGCGCCAGTACTTCCCCAATTTAAGGAAGTGCGATTCAGTGAATGAGCTAACTTGGCATCGAAGTAGTTGGGGGAAATGATTGATTAGTGAGCCAGCAGAAACACTACTGTTCTTGGCTGCTTGGAAAATCCAGTTATTTATTGATTTTATTCTTCTTTAGTTCTGACTTTCTGTTTTATTTTTCCCCCTTATAGCCGAAGCAGTCCTCTCATTTTTTTTTTAATATATTTGTCACCAACAATTAATACATAATAATTAGTACGTAATAGCGGGGATTTTTTTTATGCTCATAATTATATTGGAGCAGTACTAATGTACTATAGCGTTATGATAAAAAAAAAATTTACTATAGAGCAGTGAAAGTTTGGGAGTTGCAGATCTTAAGTTTGAATCCAAGCAAGATGCGTTAGTGTTCCCGGAGGTATAAGACTGCTGAAGGCGAAGTCCAATTTGCATCGAATTTGATTGCAGGTGACCCCCAAATTTAGTAGGACCCACTGTAACAAAATGACACGTGAGGCTGAGGTTCCTAAATAATAAATATTAAAAAAAAAGTACTATAGCGTTGTCCAAAGTTAACTTTGGGAAACTCCCAAGTCCTAGCTAATAAGAATCATAGTATTCATTCTTGAATTTATAGTTCAATGTAGGTCAATGAATTTCATGGACTGTCCAAGTTCACAAAGAAAACAAAAACGTGGTTTTATTTCTTGCCAAATCATACTCATAATTAGTACGTATCATAGCAAACATCTGGACCTGCCACCTACATCATCCTATCAAGCAACCTTCACAAGTTGAAGTCAAAGTCGCCTCCCAAATGAGCTTTGTACAATGAGAGCTTAAGACACTAAAAAGCTCACAACAAAATCGACTTACGAATAAAAGAGACACATGATCTCATAATTCCAGCCTGCACTACTTAAAAGACATAACTCATAATCTGTCTTACTTTGTCGCACTAGTTTGTGACAATAATGTTGAGAATGACAAGTCAGAGTTAGGATATGGTATTTCGGAGTATCTTATTTCTCCTGCAACACTTTAGAACCAATATACGTCAGGAGAATGATCACGAATCAACACCCAATTGTACCAATTATTAAATTATTCAACTATTTTTCTTCTCAAAACTATGTCATCATGAAAAATATAAATTGACCAGCGACTCGAGTTCGGAGCTTGAATAACTATTTTCACACTCACGAGTTGCACTGCTTTTGTGGAAAAGGCCATAACTCGAAATTTCGTAATTGACGACAACACTTTCAAACGACTATCTTTTATCGATTTGATTCGTTTAAATTTCGCAATTTGAAACCTCCTCTGCCTCATGTCAAATTTTTTTCATAAAGGAAGATTCACTACGAAGTAGTTCCAATGAAGGAGACACCCAAACGACTTCCCTTCTAAGTTGCTTCGTTTGGTGCAAAACTTAATTGTATTAATTATGATCATGAATCTGGTCTCCTCGTCCTCCTTCCCGCAAATCACAATCCTTCAAATTCCATTCTCTTTTTATTATTACCCATTTTTCGTTCATCAAATTCGTCTCCATTCGGACTCATAGTGTAAGCTCGCTCTTCCTCTTCCTCTGTCACTCCCACTCTCTACTCAAAATCGTCCTTTCTCTCCAAATGCCTCAATCATCCGCAGAACCAAAGCAGTCTGCGGAAGAGAAGCCGGTGGAGAAACAACTCTCCGACCTCAATTTCGGCGAAGAAGACGGCCAAGAAAACCAAACCCACCAACAAACTCTGCTGCCGACGCAAGCGCACGACTCTCCCCAAGATGACGACAAGGAACAAGCACTGAAGCTCTGCGAGATTTGCGCGGACAGTAAGCAATCGCACCAGATTCTCGCCGTCGGAGCGTGCACCCACGCCGCCTACTGCACGGACTGCATATCCCGCCACGTGGCGGCCAAAATCGGGCAGAGCGGCGCGGCGGCGACCGTGATCACCTGCCCTGCTTCGGGGTGCGGGACCGCAATCGAGCTCGATTCCTGCCGCGGTGCTCTCCCCAAGGCGGTGATCGACAAATGGGAGGAGGCCCTGTGCCGGAACTCGATCGGAGAGTCGCAGAGGTTCTACTGCCCCTTCAGGGACTGCTCGGCGATGCTTGTGGCGGAGCCTGCGGAGGCAGAGGCGGAATCGATCAGGGAGTCGGAGTGTCCGTACTGCCACAGGCTGTTCTGCGCGCAGTGTGGCGTGGCGTGGCACTCCGGCGTGGACTGCGAAGTGTTCCAGGGGCTGGGGCAGGACGAGCGAGGCAGGGAAGACATTATGGTGATGGAGATGGCGGAGAGCAACAAGTGGGGGTGTTGTGTTCCTTTGCGTAAGTTCTCGTAACGGAACGATCAACTCCGGGCCAGGGGCTTGGTATTGGCAATAGCCCCTTGTCACGTTTGGGAGCTATGGAGTTGGCGGAACAGAACAGAAAGAAGGAGAGGGTTAAAGAAAGGGCCGGGAAGAATTAGGAGAAGAATGGGGAGCAGAAGATGAAAAGGAATTAAGAGATGGGTCACAGAACTAGAAGAAGAAGAGGGAAAGAATAGATAGATGCAGTGGAGAGAATTGGGGATAAGTTACAGAAGAAAGGGAGAAAGAAGGAAGAAGAAGCAGAGAGGGAGAAGGGTGATAGGCGTAAGCCTCCAAAGGGGGTTTTAACAATAATATTCTTCCATAATCTCCAACTAACGTAATCTTGCACTTAAATAACAAAACAAAGCCTAACTACTCCCCTAATCCTACTCCACGTTCAGGAGAGTGGAACCATGGCCCTAACCAACCACTAACAATATTTCAAATTGAAAATTAAAAACAATAAAAAAGGCACGTGACATTCCTTCCTCCTTGAGAGGATTCTTGACCGCAAGAATCAGGAGTCTTCCAGGTCCATATCAACCTCATGATCGCCACCTCTTTCTATGGCTTCAATCAGAAAAAGCTTCTTGCAGCGATGCGCTGGATGGAAGGTCTCGTTACATTTGAAGCACAAACCTTTCGCACGACGTTCATTCATCTCAGCAGGGGTAAGCTTCTTGACTGGCAGAGGGGTTCGAACGCCTTCCATGGCCCTAGCATGGGCCACCGCTGGACCCTCCCCTGGGTGGCTTCGGACGTCTTTAGCTTCATACAGCCTTGCTAGACCAATTGCAGCAGTCAACGTAGCGGGTTTACAAGCTTGGACGTCGATCCGAAGAGACTCACGTAAACCGCTAATGAAACAGCTAACCTGCTGAGCTGGCGTAAGATTTCCAGCACGAACTAGCAACCTCTCAAACTGTGTTTGATAATCTCGAACAGTGCCATCTTGTTGCAGCTTGGTCAGGTCTCCAAAGAAGTCTTCGAATTGGGTTGGTCCAAATCGAATATGCATATCTCTCTTGAACTCCTCCCAGGTGAGCTCTTGTCCTCCTTCCTTAAGGACTTGCAACCACAACTGCGCCTCCCCCTCCAAATTAATTGAAGCCACCATGACCTTCTCTTCGTCAGGAGTTTGACAATAGGTAAAAAACTGTTCAGCCCGGCAAACCCAAATGGTGGGATCTTCATCCCCATTGAATTTGGGAAATTCAATCTTCATCCTTGGCGCTTGCAACTGATTCCTTTGGTTGACTCGTGGCCCTTCATTGGCCCTATGAGCAGCCGGGGCGATCTGATCGAAACGAGCATTCATCGCTGCAAAACTTTCTTGCATCTCCCGCAGCACTGTCGCTTGTGTCGTCATTAGGTCCCTGAAGTCAGCTTCGAGTCGGGCAACACGCTCTTCCATGGTTGCAGCGGTGGGTTTCAGCTCTGATACCAAGATGTTGTGTTCCTTTGCGTAAGTTCTCGTAACGGAACGATCAACTCCGGGCCAGGGGCTTGGTATTGGCAATAGCCCCTTGTCACGTTTGGGAGCTATGGTGTTGGCGGAACAGAATAGAAAGAAGGAGAGGGTTAAAGAAAGGGCCGGGAAGAATTAGGAGAAGAATGGGGAGCAGAAGATGAAAAGGAATTAAGAGATGGGTCACAGAACTAGAAGGAGAAGAGGGAAAGAATAGATAGATGCAGTGGAGAGAATTGGGGATAAGTTACAGAAGAAAGGGAGAAAGAAGGAAGAAGAAGCAGAGAGGGAGAAGGGTGATAGGCGTAAGCCTCCAAAAGGGGTTTTAACAATAATATTCTTCCATAATCTCCAACTAACGTAATCTTGCACTTAAATAACAAAACAAAGCCTAACTACTCCCCTAATCCTACTCCACGTTCAGGAGAGTGGAACCATGGCCCTAACCAACCACTAACAATATTTCAAATTGAAAATTAAAAACAATAAAAAAGGCACGTGACATTCCTTCCTCCTTGAGAGGATTCTTGACCGCAAGAATCAGGAGTCTTCCAGGTCCATATCAACCTCATGATCGCCACCTCTTTCTATGGCTTCAATCAGAAAAAGCTTCTTGCAGCGATGCGCTGGATGGAAGGTCTCGTTACATTTGAAGCACAAACCTTTCGCACGACGTTCATTCATCTCAGCAGGGGTAAGCTTCTTGACTGGCAGAGGGGTTCGAACGCCTTCCATGGCCCTAGCATGGGCCACCGCTGGACCCTCCCCTGGGTGGCTTCGGACGTCTTTAGCTTCATACAGCCTTGCTAGACCAATTGCAGCAGTCAACGTAGCGGGTTTACAAGCTTGGATGTCGATCCGAAGAGACTCACGTAAACCGCTAATGAAACAGCTAACCTGCTGAGCTGGCGTAAGATTTCCAGCACGAACTAGCAACCTCTCAAACTGTGTTTGATAATCTCGAACAGTGCCATCTTGTTGCAGCTTGGTCAGGTCTCCAAAGAAGTCTTCGAATTGGGTTGGTCCAAATCGAATATGCATATCTCTCTTGAACTCCTCCCAGGTGAGCTCTTGTCCTCCTTCCTTAAGGACTTGCAACCACAACTGCGCCTCCCCCTCCAAATTAATTGAAGCCACCATGACCTTCTCTTCGTCAGGAGTTTGACAATAGGTAAAAAACTGTTCAGCCCGGCAAACCCAAATGGTGGGATCTTCATCCCCATTGAATTTGGGAAATTCAATCTTCATCCTTGGCGCTTGCAACTGATTCCTTTGGTTGACTCGTGGCCCTTCATTGGCCCTATGAGCAGCCGGGGCGATCTGATCGAAACGAGCATTCATCGCTGCAAAACTTTCTTGCATCTCCCGCAGCACTGTCGCTTGTGTCGTCATTAGGTCCCTGAAGTCAGCTTCGAGTCGGGCAACACGCTCTTCCATGGTTGCAGCGGTGGGTTTCAGCTCTGATACCAAGATGTTGTGTTCCTTTGCGTAAGTTCTCGTAACGGAACGATCAACTCCGGGCCAGGGGCTTGGTATTGGCAATAGCCCCTTGTCACGTTTGGGAGCTATGGTGTTGGCGGAACAGAATAGAAAGAAGGAGAGGGTTAAAGAAAGGGCCGGGAAGAATTAGGAGAAGAATGGGGAGCAGAAGATGAAAAGGAATTAAGAGATGGGTCACAGAACTAGAAGGAGAAGAGGGAAAGAATAGATAGATGCAGTGGAGAGAATTGGGGATAAGTTACAGAAGAAAGGGAGAAAGAAGGAAGAAGAAGCAGAGAGGGAGAAGGGTGATAGGCGTAAGCCTCCAAAAGGGGTTTTAACAATAATATTCTTCCATAATCTCCAACTAACGTAATCTTGCACTTAAATAACAAAACAAAGCCTAACTACTCCCCTAATCCTACTCCACGTTCAGGAGAGTGGAACCATGGCCCTAACCAACCACTAACAATATTTCAAATTGAAAATTAAAAACAATAAAAAAGGCACGTGACAGGGGGCGGTGCCCGAACTGCAAATTCTACGTCGAGAGGACGGAAAATGCCGAAGGCGGTTTGGTCCCGCCTTCGTCCCGAAAAAACGTCGTTTGCTACCCCGAACGAGCCTTTTTTCGATTTCGTCAAACTTTGAACGACCATAACTTTGTGCTCCACAATCCGAAAATCATGAACTTTTTTTTGATTTTGCATAACTTTTTGAGGACTATAATTTTTTCTAGGAGAGAATTTTCAAAAAATGAATTATTTTGGATATACGGGGTTTTGGGAATAAGTTTACCTTTCTTTTTAGGAATCCAAGTACATTCCGAAATTATGTCTATGATAAAAAATTTAGTCCTCAAAAAGTTATGCAAAATCAAAAAAAATCATGATTTTCGGATTGTGGAGCACAAAGTTATGGTCGTTCAAAGTTTGACGAAATCGAAAAAATGCTCGTTCGGGGTAGCAAACGACATTTTTTGGTTCGAAGGCGAGACCAAACCACCTTTGGCAGTCTTCGGCTTGCAAGATCTCAAAAAGTTATGCGGAATAAAAAAAAAATCGCGGCGATTGGATACCCGAACATAAAGATACGTTTGTTTGAAGTTTCCACCTAAGTTAGGATTTTTCAAAAAAAAAAAAAAAAAAGCAGATCGCACCCCCAGGGTGCGGTTTGCAAAAAAAAAAAAAAAAAGACAGATCGCACCCTAGGGGTGCGGTTTGCAAAACCGCTCCCTACCAGTGCGGTTTTCATCGAAAAACGCACCTCCGGGTTGCGGTTTAAAAAAAATGGTGCTATTTTTGGAATTTTTCGGAGTTGGGTGCTATTTTTGGATTTTTTTTTTTAAACAGTGCTATTTCTGGAAAAATCTCTAGGTGCAAGTATGAATTCTGCTATGGGTGTGGAGAGAAGTGGAGCTCCAATCACGGCGGGTGTACCAGAGACTGATCGGGTCGGGCAGTGCAATGGGCTAGAGTTAAAGAAGGTCATGTTGGTTGGTTTGATTTTCGGGTTACAAAGGATATTAACATTATGTTTGATTTTAAGAGGTTGTTTTGGGCTTGGCTTGGCTTGTCTACTGTTAGTTGATTAATTTAATCTCTTTTACTCTTTTCGGGTAAAATAAATCTCCTCACTGTTTACGTGACACTGGATTAGCGGGGTCGGGTACGTTGACCGGGAAGCATACGAGTAAACCCAATTTTGAAATATTTGAGGTAGGGTGCTAATCATTAAGTTTTTGGTTACCCACTAATTAAATTCTCAAAACAACTATTAAATTCAAATCTCACAACTTATTTAAAAATAAAATTCACTCAGTAATAAATTTTCAAATCCAACTTCTTCCCTTCGAGATAAAAAAAAAACAACCTGAAGTAATGTCAACACGAGCAGCAGAATCACTTGCAACAATTTTGGACTAATGGTATAACGGGTAACCCGCGGGTAGTCAAAGTAACAATTATTGATTTCAAGTTCCATCCCATAAAAAAAGTACGGGTATTTTATTACCCGTAACCCTCAAAAAACGGAACGAGTA